AAAGAAAAGTAGATTGTAGTGTGGGGGGAGTGGTGGAAGAGTACACTAAAGCCACTGAATGATGAACATCATCTGTTATTATTGTTGTTTTCTAGACTGAAACAAATGACTGAATAGAATAATCTTTCATTCGAAATTATCATTATTATCAAATTATCATTCGATAGAGAATTGAATGAGGAGCACGAATACCCGGTCCCCATCTTCCAAAACCGTTTCCCCGCTGAGGTATCCTCAAAATACTTGGAGCATGTCAAAAACCTTAAAAATCTGCGTTTTCAAAAAGTGCCCCTAGGTTTTCGAGTTTTGAGGTTAAATGTTTCAGATTCAGCGCTAAAAATTGAATCTAGAAAAGCAACTTTCAAACTTCTAGGACCAAAAATGGATTTTTCCCGGTATCTAAAACCGGTACGTGTTGGAAGTGTTCATCAAACTGTGCGGCCCTAATTCAAGCTTTCCCAAAGGAGCTAGTGCCAAAACGTTGACATGGTTGGATTCGCCAGAGTGGTGTCATTTGTCCACTTATCCGTCTGAAAATCTTTCCGTCTAGTGCCACAGGCCCGCTCCAATCGATAGCAACAGAAGTTTAGTGTATTGTATTTTGTAATAATGAACATAGAAAAATTCTAATCACAGAATAACAAACACGAACTAGTAACAACGAAGTAGAAAATGGAATGCAATAACACAAATAATACTACATATACGTGTCTTCACTCCACTCTTATAACTATAACTGACTAAAAGGAACTAACTATAGCTAGTGTATATATAAAAGAAGATAAGCGGGCGAACAAAAAAGTGAGAACGTTAAGTTGACCTTCCAGTCCTATAACATACATATCACAATAATGTTCGAAAATGCATCATCTATTTCGTTAGGGATAGGAATGATAATGTCAGCATATTAGCCAATTGTCGTCGAGCTTCTCGCTTTTTAACAGTTTTAACAGTTTAAGTCCATATTTTTGAACCATACACCATATATTCCGTGCAAAATGAAATTGACATCTAGCTGTCGCGCCACAAAATATGCATTAAGAACTTTCTTAATAAATAATGGAAAATATTTTTTAGATGTATCCGGATCAATTAAAAACATGCTTTCTCCTCCATTTTGACAAAAAAAAATCTTTCATTTCTTAAATTTCCTTCTCTACCTAGTGTGGATAAAGCAATCTCGTAAAGATAGCTCCATTCATAACTAATATCCATTAGAATAGTAGTTTTAAGTGTGAATAGAGCCATTAAAAAATTAAAATTAAAATTCGTTGACGGCATTTTGCTAATTCCTAGTCCGAAGTTAAGGCGCTCCAACCTCAATTTTTAGTTTTGGTTTAAATATACACCATTCGACGCAGAATTTCGACAAACACTGAATCGACTGATATGTATTTCGAAATTTTTAGTTGATTTTCATTGTTTGATGCAAATCTCGATAATTCTCCAGCGTGAAAATTCGACAAAAACTAGCGTGGTTGGATAAGGTAGAGGTACACATGATTCGATTCATGTTTTGATCCTGGTTCTGAATATGATACTTTTATTTTACAGAAGTTGATTTCTGATTGGGAAATTGAAAATTACGAGCAGAAGTGACGTTTTCGCTGCAGATTGAGAAAAATGAACTTTTTCGGCAACGGAGGAATTTAAAAAAAGGCGATCATTTTTCCTACGTTTCAAGGCGAATCGAATGGTGTATGAAACTTGGCTTCATACGTTAACCAAAGAGCTTTGATTGGGTTCCAAGATGAGGCTTTCGAAACCGGAGATATATCGGCCCCGTTTCGTGCCCAGAAACTATTTCTTGATGCGGAGCCTTGAAATACAGTTGTCTAGATGCAGTTTTCAAGGCTGAATAAGAAAAACATAACTTCAAAATGAGGCAGAAGCGCGTCACTCAGTTTTTAAAGAAAACTAGCGGTTTTTCGAAAAAACAGGCCCTTCAAGTTTTTTGAATGTTTTTCACTGAAAAACTGCACTGCGACGGCTGAAAGGTAGATATATGTATTGAATGACGTATGATTAAGCCAAAAACAAAATAGTTCTTAAATTTTGAATTTGGAGCGCCTTAAACTTCCTACGAGTTTCCGAACAGTATAACATATCCTATCAATATCCTAATAGGATTTCACCTTAATTTCTTAGAATTCTAACGAAATCCTATAGAATTCTCGTGAAATCAAGTATACCCGAAAGTTCATAGGATTTTCTAAGCTTCTGTTAGCATCCTAAACAAACTTAAGCGAAATCCTAGTAGGATGAATTGAAATAGTCGCATAGGATAAGAATACACATTAGTCGACTCAGTTTTTCATCCTGATCCAGAATATAATATTTTTGTACTACAAAAAGTTGAGTTCTGATGGAGAAAGTTGAGAATTATGAGCAGAATTCTAAATTTTTCGTCGGGATTTAGAAAAAACGATTTTTTTCAGCAACGGAAAGAAATGTCACGTCGTTTAAAGAAGGTATCCTTGACTATTCAGTTTTAAATTGACAATAGTCTATAGGATCGAATTCTAAACAACATTTCTAGAGTTAGTTTCATACACTGCATCAGAAAAAGTAAGTTTGGAAGTTTCAAAATGGAATAGAACGAAATTTTTCAATTTTTCAGTCGAACGATTTTTAGAAATTTAAAGCCCTTCTAGTATTTTCAAAAATTTTTCATTAATACTCATGTTTGAAAAGGTAAAGCTAGTTATTCTTGATCAGCTTGACAAGCTCTATTGCATGATGTATAAAAAGAAAATGCTTGAAATTCGAATTACGCGCGGATTCGAATTGAAATTCGGGTTGAAAGTCGAATTATAACAGATCCATAAGTACCCCCGCCCCTCCCCATCCCCATAATAGAAGACCACCTGGTATTCTATTTTAGTAAACAATTAGCAGTCGGTCAATCAATCTCTATTCTCACACGCCCGTTTAATTTCACCAAAACGGACATGGTTCTTTAATCGCTAAAACGTTTTTTAAATGGGTTCTGATATAAATAGCCATATGTCTAACCTACATTTTCATATAGTCTCTTTCGTCTCTAGGCAGAGAAAAGCCAATACATTGAAAAAGTCACGTTGCATTATTATAGCATCCCTCTTGTATAGTAAAAACAATCTGTTTTTTTTGAAAATTGATACAGTGAAGATAGGTGATGATTAGTAACTAGTTACTTTGAAGATCCATCACGGTCCTATGGTGTAGCGGTAGCACTCTGGACTTTGAATCCAGCAACCCCAGTTCAAATCTGGGTAGGACCTGTATTTTTTTTGACTATTTTTTCTTCTTTTTAATTCAAAAATAAAGATGTGGACATACTTGAGAGAATATTCACATGCACATTTTATGTAATGTTATTCTCAAAACAATAATAAATGTAGAATAATACGTTGCAGGTCCTACTAATATTTGTGCTTTGAGTGTTGATTCAAAGTTCAGAATGCTACCGTGACGAAGGAACCACCCTAGGTTATAAATCGATTCCGAGTTGGGACTATTTTTGTTAGAAAGGTCCTAACGAGTAGTGAGATACCCCAACTTGGTTCATCCCCATGGTGCTTGTTGCTGAGATACTGAACTCTTAGTCAGTTTTTGCCTATGGAGCTTATATTTCGAGCAAAATTCAGCTTTCGAATTTTGATTTCAGACCTTCGACGGTATTTGCTAACGGTAAATCGATGAAGGAGTGTGGGGATTGATATTAGGGCATATGATCCTAAAAAATTGACTTCGCGGTAGTTGGTTTATAACTCAGCTAGTTATCATCGCACAGAGCTGCGCATTAGTTTCCTGAATAGAGCAAACATTTCTGCGTCGATCCATATGTATTTGATCATAAAATAATCAGTCTCGACTTCATGAGAAGCACAATAAAATGAGCAGGGTCAGATCTTTTTCCATTTTTCTAGTATTTCTAATTCTGCCGCTCAAGGTATTTTTGCTTCTAATTCTTCCCTTCCTACGTCAAACGGCATGTTTCTCCGAACAGAACAAGATTTGATGAACAAGACTGCCCTTGTTTCAGAGCAACCAATGAACTACTTGATCCGGCGCGGCTTCGTACTTCTCATTTCAATACAAATCAAGTTCGTCTTTTTCACAGTCTTGTTCATCAAATCTTGTTCTATTCTGGGAAACATGCCATTTGACGTAGGAATGAGAGAATTAGGAGCAAAAAATATGTTGAGTGGCAGAATTGGGGACATAGATAGAAAAATGGAAAAAGATCTGATCCTGCTCATTTTGTTGTGCTTCTCATGAAGTCGAGACTGATTATTTTATGATCAAATACCTATGGATCGACGCAGAAATGTTTGCTCTATTCAGGAAACTAATGCGCAGCTCTGTGCGATGATAACTAGCTGAGTTATAAACCAACTACCGCGGAGTCGATATTTTGGGGGGCAGAATTAGAACCACCAGCTCGATTTCGGATAAAACGGGTGGTGCCACGGTTTAGTGTCTCCTCCACTTGCTGTAACCATGCATTTTTTTCACTCGAAAATATCCAGGACCGGAAAGCACCCTTATCGACCCTGTTTTTCGTCGATAGACCTTGCCACACAAATAGCACAAGGCTTGAAAGTATTCCGCTTGATTTGTAGACAAGAAGAATTAGCCGATCGGATGATATCACGTAAGGGACTGTTCGGAAAGGGCGCCATCTGGTAAGGAGTATGGAGGCGGTCACGGAAAAGAATGCTTTTGGTGACGCCATGGGACATGAAAGAGATTACAGTGAAAGACGTTTCGAAGAAATAAAAGCAGAAGTATCCACTTATACAAAGAAAATTGGTTACAATTCATCGACAATTGCCTTTGTTCCGATCAGTGGACGTGAAAGGATGCAGAGGTGCGGTTTTCGGTAATAGAAAGAGAACAGTTTAGCCTATATTTGCATAAGCAGAAATGCTTTTTTAACTAATGCCTGAAGCCGATTTTCAGCCGATCTCTGAAAAATCAGTTTCTAAGTCAACAACTTTACATAGAACTCTATCAATTTTTTTTCATACATGAATAATTCAAAGTGTCATCTAGAAAATAAGATTCAAGCAAAAGTTTTATCTTGTTTTGTTCGGGAGCTTCGGACACTTTTCCCGAAGCCTTACAAACTTCTCTTTCGTTAGGTTTAGAACTGTCACAAACGCATAAAAACATAGGTTATTGACATACTGAATCTCGCGGCAATGTTAGTTTTCAGAATAAAATACAAGAACCGGGTGAAAAGCTATCGTAGCTGAAATAACCCATTTTTCATCAGAAGTAGACCAAACCTT